TCCCGTCACCCTCCTGTCCCGCCCCTTTCAGCCCTGCCCCCAGCTCAGTCCGCTACTCCAGCTCTGCCCTACTCAGCCCTGCCCTGCTGTAACCCTCCCTGCTCAACCACGGCCCTGCTCAACCCTGCCCAGCCCCCCCCCACTGTACAGCCTCGTCCTGCCCAGCCCAGCCCTCCGAGCACGGCTGCTTCCAGCCCAGCCCAGACCCTGTCCTACCCAGCCAAACCTAGGCCAGTTCTGCCTGCCCTGACCACCCTGGCACAGCGCCTACCAAGGTATCCCGCCCAGCAAGCTCAACATTGCACAATCCTGCCTTTCCTTGCCCAACTCAGCCCAGCCCTGCACTCCCCAACCTTGCCCTTCCCCGCTCAGCGAGGCCGCTCCGGGCCCATTTGCCCCAAGCGCTGTCCCGCTTCCCCAAAGCCGCCAGCCCCAAGCGCGTGCGTGTGCGTGCCGGCGTCGGGCCCCGAGGGGAGGAGGAGACGCGCGCGCGCACGCGGGCAGCTGGACGGGCTGAAGACGGGCGCGCACGCAGCCCACTCCTTCGTGCTGCGCTTCGTGGAGCTGCCAGGGGCTGCCCCCGCGCTCCTGCAGGCCCGGCAGGCCATGGACCACGCCACGGCGCTCGGCCCGTGGCACACCTCGCTCATCGGCTGCCTCAAGGCGCTCAATGAACAACTCGGTACTGCTGCCACACGCTCCCTTCTTTAACATCAGCTCAACTTCCTTATCATGAAATTTCCCTTCACACGCTCATTAGCAAAATTCACAATGGACAACGCCACGGCTCTTGACCCCGTGCACACCTCGCTCACGGCTGCCTCAAGGCGCTCATGAACAACTCGTACTGCTGGCCTACACGCTCCCTTCTTTCACATCAGTCAACTTCCTTAATAGAAATTTCCCTTCACCGCTCGATTGCGAAGAATTCACAATGGACAACGCCACGGCCGTCTTGGCCCGGTGCACACCTCGCTACCGGCTGCTCAATAGGCGCTCATGAACAACTCGGTACTGCTGCCTACCACGCCCCTTCTTTAACATCAGTCAACTTCCTTATATGAAATTCCCTTCACACGCTCATTGGGCAAAATTCACATTGGCCACGCCACGGCGCTCGGCCGCCGTGCACCCTCACTCATCGCTCAAGGCCCGTCATGAACTCATTGAGTCTAGCACCCAGACACTCTTGCCGACCTTTGGGCCTCAGTCAACTTCCCTTAAATGGAATTTCCCTTAACACGATCATTCAAAATTCACAATGAACCATTCTGTGGCTCTCGGCCCAGGCACACTTCTCTCATTGTCTCCAACGCTCTCATGAAACAACTTGGCACTACCACACATACTCACATTTACTTTTGACCATTCATCTTCCTTAATTTAAATTTTCCTTCACATCATCATTGGCAAAGTTCGCAATTGAACAAACACCACAATTGTCACCCTCGTGCTAACTCGATCATTGGGTCTCTAGATCTGCTCCTCAACAAATCGATACTTCTACACACACTCTAAATCGCACCCTTTCCCCCCATTGAACTCTCCTTAACATGAAATTTCTCTTTCTCATGATCTTTGGCAAAACTCATAATGGTGTTCGCCTATTGCGCTTGGCTTACTGTTATAGCCTGCTCATCACTGTTTTCTCATGATTTTTTTTGTCTTCATCTGTCATTCTTGTTCATAATTCCTAATGCACAAGTGACATATGACACAAATATATTTCCTTTGTGTGTTCATCCTCTTTGAGGGAGAGGAGTATATCTTTAGTAAAAAAAAAACAAGTGTTTGGGTAAATGTTGGTTATACCAATGTTGGTAATCTAATATATTTTAGAATTAGCCAAAGAGCTCATTTTAAAACTGCATTGCTTGGAGAATTAACTTTGGTATCTTGAATTTTGTAAGATCTTGCATTTTAATCACTGTCACCAATACAACTTTTTAAAATTTTTATTATAATTTATAAGTGTAATTAATTTTTTTATATAGTTTTCAAAAATTAGAAAATGTGCTACTTGTTTTTAGAAATGTCAATTTGAATTTTGTAATCCTAATTGACAAATAAAATCAGTTAATGACCGCAGAAGTCACAACATAAAATTAAGGTTATGGTTTATTCAAGAGTAATTAGAAAATCTCTCTCTTGGGGCGGCTCTTCCCAGCCCAGCCCAGCCCTGTCCTACCCAGCCAAGCCTAGGCCAGTTCTGCCTGCCCTGACCACCCCTGCACAGCCCTACCAAGTTACCCTGCCCAGCAAGGCCCAACATTGCACAATCCTGCCTTTCCTTGCCCAACTCAGCCCAGCCCTGCACTCCCCAACCTTGCCCTTCCCGCTCAGCCGAGGACCGCTCCGGCCCATTTGCCCCAAGGCGCTGTCCCCGCTTCCCCAAAGCCGCCAGCCCCAAGCGCGTGCGTGTGCGTTGCAGGCGTCGGGCCCCGAGGCGGAGGAGGAGACGCGCGCGCGCACGCGGCAGCTGGACGGGCTGAAGACGGCGCTGCGCACGCAGCCGCACTCCTTCGTGCTGCGCTTCGTGGAGCTGCAAGGGCTGCCCGCGCTCCTGCAGGCGCTGCAGGCTATGGACCACGCCACGGCGCTCGGCCCCGTGCACACCTCGCTCATCGGCTGCCTCAAGGCGCTCAATGAACAACTCGGTACTGCTGCCACACGCTCCCTTCTTTAACATCAGTCAACTTCCTTATCATGAAATTTCCCTTCACACGCTCATTAGCAAAATTCACAATGGACAACGCCACGGCTCTTGACCCCGTGCACACCTCGCTCACGGCTGCCTCAAGGCGCTCATGAACAACTCGTACTGCTGGCCTACACGCTCCCTTCTTTCACATCAGTCAACTTCCTTAATAGAAATTTCCCTTCACCGCTCGATTGCAAGAATTCACAATGGACAACGCCACGGCCGTCTTGGCCCGGTGCACACCTCGCTACCGGCTGCTCAAAGGCGCTCATGAACAACTCGGTACTGCTGCCTACCACGCCCCTTCTTTAACATCAGTCAACTTCCTTATATGAAATTCCCTTCACACGCTCATTGGGCAAAATTCACATTGGCCACGCCACGGCGCTCGGCCGCCGTGCACCCTCACTCATCGCTCAAGGCCCGTCATGAAACTTCCATTAGTTAGCACCCAGACACTCTTGCCGCACCTTTGGCCTCAGTCAACTTCCTTTAATGGAATTTCCCTTAACACGATCATTCTCAAAATTCACAATGAACCATTCTGTGGCTCTCGGCCCAGGGCACACTTCTCTCATTGTGCCTCAACGCTCTCATGAAAAACTTGGCACTACCTACACATACTCACTTTACTTTTGACCATTCATCTTCCTTAATTTAAATTTTCCTTCACATCATCATTGGCAAAATTCGCAATTGAACAAACACCACAATTGTCACCCTCGTGCTAACCTCGATCATTGGGTCTCTAGATGCTCCTCAACAAATCGATACTATCTACACACTCTAAATCGCACCTTTGCCCCCATTGAACTTCCTTAAATGAAATTTCTCTTCTCATGATCTTTGGCAAAACTCATAATGGTGTTCGCTATGGCGCTTGGCTTGATGTATAGCCTGCTCATCACTTTTCACATGATTTTTTTGTCTTCATCTGTCATTCTTTTCATATTTCCTAATGCACAAGTGACATATGACACAAATATATTTCCTTTGTGTGTTTCATCTCTTTGAGGGAGAGAGTATATCTTTATGTAAAATACCAAGTGTTTGGTAAATTGTGGTATACCAATGTTTGGTAATAATAATATTTTAGAATTTAGCCAAAAGCTCATTTTAAAACTGGCATTGCTTGAGAATTAACTTTGGTATCTTGAATTCTGTAAGATCATGCATTTTAAATCACTGTCACAATACAACTTTTAAAAATTTTTATTATAATTTTATAAGTGTAATTAATTTTTTTATATATTTTTCAAAATTAGAAAATGTGCTACTTGTTTTTAGATATGTCAATTTGAATTTTTGTAATCCTAATTGACAAAATAAAATCAGTTAATGACCGCAGAAGTCACAACATAAAATTAAGTTAATGGTTTTATCAAGAGTAATTAGAAAATTATATTTTGTTCTGAAATGTTAAAACTGTTATTTGTTCTTAGAATGGTAGAGCACATGTCTTGGCACATCCAACTGGCATCAACGTCATAGCACAAAGCCTCAGCACTGAAAACATCAAGACCAAAGTGGCTGTGCTGGAAATTCTTGGAGCTGTTTGTCTTGTGCCTGGAGGACACCGAAAAGTTCTACAAGCTATGCAGCACTATCAAACATATGCTTGTGAGCGTACTAGATTCCAGGTATGCAACATAATTGATTATATAGTTTGTAAAAACATAGAAAAGTGTATTTTCTTATAAACATTAGTTTTTGTTGAAGATACATGTAAGAAACCATATCAGTTAATGTTATGTTAAATCTGTTCCTAAAATGGAATGTAAATCAACAATATATTTTGACTTGCTTCGTACAGAAACAAACTGATTTTTCAATAGATGTTGTATTAGATGTTACAATTAAAATGTATTATTATGTACTAGACAATTTACAAATGATAAAATGTTCAGGCTTTGCAAAACACTGTATTGAATAATTTTAACATGTTTATTTGCCTCTTTCATAGGGAATAGTGAATGATCTAGACCGTGACACTGGAGTTTATCGTGATGAAGTAAGTTTGAAGACAGCTATCATGTCTTTTGTGAATGCTGTGCTCAACTATGGCCCAGGACAAGAGAACCTCGAATTTCGATTGCACTTACGCTATGAGTTCCTTATGCTGGGCATTCAACCTATTATTGACAAGCTTCGTCGACATGAAAATGAGACTCTGGATAGGTGAGCAGATATCACTTTTTAACATTCCAAAAAACCAATATTGTATGAATAGAGAAAATTTAATAGTACTTTTAAAAAAAAAAAAAACCCTTTGGGTTGAAGTCTTAAAGCCAGAAATAATCTTCAGAAAGTTCTTGGTCACTAAATTGGGAACTTGAAAGAAAATAATTATTTTGTTAAGTACACTAACATTTTCAAAAAAAATGTTAATTGTAAAAATGGTTATGAATTTTGTATTTATTCAGCGTTAACAGCAATCAGATAAAATGTAAGACTTTTTTATTGAAGAATTTGTGAAAGTTTGTGTTATTGAAGAAAGGTGGAAATTCAATATGCATTTAATTGCAATTTTTATTAATATGGAATATACATGATATGCAATTTTTTAATTATATTCATAAATACTATATTTTTCTTTTTTGTCAGGCATTTAGATTTCTTTGAAATGGTTCGAAATGAAGATGAAAAGGAATTGGCCAAGAAATTTGAAAAGGTGAGTTTAGAAATGCATTGAGCAACTGTCAGCGATATCTTAATATTCTGAAAGTATTAAAGAAGTCTTGTTGTGTGATGAATTGTTAAAGAGAAATACATTTTTGTATTCCAAGTTCCAAGTTTCTTTTAAGTCTGTGTCACTTTTCTGATAATTTTCCGTTAAAGGGGTTATTCACTTCAAGTGTTTTTTGTTTGTTCCACAGGATCATGTTGACACAAAAAGTGCCACTGCCATGTTTGACCTGTTGAGAAGAAAACTAAGTCACACTTCTGCGTATCCTCACCTTCTCTCCCTTTTGCAACATTGTTTACTTCTTCCATGTAAGTTTATTATGAAATGATTTTGTGATGTATTGAATGAAATTACTGTCCAGATTTGTATTTTGTTTTAAAAGTATTCTGTGGAATAAATTATTGTCAATTATTATTTCATTAGCATTTGAATTTTTATAACATGTAGGCTGCATGCAATTAATTTTGGAGACTAATATTCTTCAATTATTCAGTCTCATGTTTAAATGATCAAATAGTAAGACTTGGGGCAGTGACAGGAAAAGCTACATCTAATTAAAAACTAGATACTTGAATGCCCATCAAAAGGTCAACATCAATACACTACATGGTATTATCCTTTGGAAAGTACATATGGTAATACTTAATACAACAAATTAAAATAGATACACATTTAAATTTGTAAATATAATTGTTAAAAAAATTAATATGCGATTTCCCTTGTTCTTGCTCCTGTAATTCTGGTTCATTCACTTTTAATAAAAAAATTATGACTTACAGCTGAGTGATACTAGGAGGCTTTTCTTGAATTTAAGTGGCTTATCACATCAATTTCTTCTACAGTTGATGAATGCAGTGATGTGTTTTTTGATTTCATTTAGTGGACTACGGGTCTCATCCCCAACATTGGCTGCTGTTCGACCGGGTTGTGCAGCAGATTGTTATGCAAGCGGAATCTGGTGCTAATCCTGATGTTGCTCCAATTGACATCAATGTGAAGGAACTTGTCCATCTCCTGGCTAAAGAAGAGGAGTTGGTTGCAGCTCGTGAAAAGGCTGAAGAGCTTGAGAAGGAAAACTCTGATCTCCTTGGTCGGTTGGCCAAGAAGGAGCAAGAGCTGGACCAGAGGTCCCAAGAGAAGGCAAGTACAAGAAATGCACTCCAAAGTGCCTGGGTACAAAATACCTCTTCCTGTAATTTATGATGTGATAACAGACCTAAAATATATATAATTTTTTTTCTGCAGAAAATGTTTTCTAATAAAATTGAACGTAATCAATAAGAAAGCAATACAAATATATCTATATTCACATTCTGTTGTTACTGTACTTCGGAGCATACTCTTAAAATGTATTATCATTGTTTATACTCATTATGATATTAATTAATATTATGTATTTTCTTGCTACATTCCCACCGTCTTTTGAAAGTATGAAATAAGATAGGCCTTTTAATTCAGAAAATTTATAATGCAACTTAAACCAATTTTTAAGTGTTAGAAAATATTATTGTTTCACAAGAGTATAAAGTTTGAATGAAATTTGTTATTAACATTAGAAAATAAAATAGTATTGATGTTTTCTGAAGCCTTTTTTCTTTGAAAATGTGCTTTGATATTTTGGGAAGAATATTAACAGAAAATAAATTTAGTCAGCGTTTGCTAATATTTACTACGGTACTAATAAGTGTCCTTTGAATTAAATTATGGTAGGGAGACTGATTATATTCAAAATGAATTGTGGAAATGGTATGATAATATAGGGTACATAAAAAATAGCCAAGCTAACAAAATCATATTTATCTTCTACACAACAATGATAAATCATTTTCTGAATCCCATTGGTTTAGGCTTCAGGAAACATTTGGCTACCTGACTATTGTCACAATGACATCAATGACTATTGTCTCTGTAGGAAGTGTGTAATCCCTAATTACTGCATCTTTAACCTCTAAAGAAGCCATTGCAGTGCGTTTGGTACTTGAATAATACAGCATTTTTTTATTCTGAACTTCAACCTACTCATTTATTAACATTCAAAAGTTAATTTAAGAGACTTACCATTTGCACGCTCGTTTGAGCAGGAGGATCTGGAGACAAGTGTGCGTCGTGTGAAGGAGCGCCTGGAGAAGGAGACGGCTGCTCACCTGGAGAGCAAGCAGCGGTTGGCAGAGCTGGAGCACCAAGCAAGCGAGCTGAGCATGCGTGTGGAGGCCGAGAGCAGCGAGCGCATGCGTCTGGAGCGTCTCGTAGCCACTGGGTGCCTCCCAGATGACACCAAGGTACGATGCACCTAGCACAGGGTTCATTGATCGTGAGGGAGGGTTGGATATAGGAGGGGAAGCTGGGCTGGATTTTCAGAAGAGAACAACAGCCAGTTGCAAGTTGCAAGTGCAAAGTTGTTCTTGATTAAATGGTGTTCTAATTTTGTCCACATAGTTTATTTGTAATATTCATTTTGTAGAGGTATCATGAAAAAGCTAGATGTGCAAAGAGTAACTATCTATTGGGCTGTCCAGGAGATGCCATGTTCTAGGCAGAGATGTCTAAGATGTCTCCTGGACAGCCTTGTAGATAATGACTGTCTGACTCTGACCGCGAAAACCTTTGCTTTCTTAGAGTAACTACTTTTTTATTTGAGATCACTCAGCAATTTAATAGCGATGAAGTAGGGGTGGAAAACATTATAAAATCAAATATGTGAGTTTTTAAATATCATTGTGCAAAGCTGATCTATAAAAAAACAATATAATAATAATATAATGAGTTGAAATACAGCAAGTACCATCAACAGTACGTTTTATTTCAATATCTTTTTTAAAATATTATTTTACTGATCTTGAAAATTGAAATTATATTTTAATGATACATATTATTCAACTATAATGTAGTATTGTATATATTGATGTTCATTATACATCTTACAAATATTTAATGACTTTTAAAAATGTTGAGAATGATTATTGGAACTGAGATTTAGTGACAAACAACCTGGAGATCAACACAGGATTGATGGGAGAAGACACTTTGATTGTTTCGAAATTAAGTTTTCTTTTGTGCCTAGATTTATTTATTTATTAATTTTTTTAATCTTTTTCTAATAAAAAAGAATTACTTGAAAAATGTTTTTCACTACTCTAAAATGTTTTATGAGACTTGAGTTGTAACAAAGTTTCCCCAAAATAAAAAAGAATTACTTGAAGCAGTCATTTTGACCGCTTGCTTTTGTAGGTATAACTACATTGCCATCTTTCTAGTGTCAAGGTATGTTGCTAAAGGGGGCAAAGTCTAATGGTGAAATTCAGGTGTGGGTGGTATCACTCAGTAGTGTAACAAAATGAGTGCGGGACCGCCCTCAAACCTTTTATCCGGGCACTAGTTATAAAAGAGTATAGAAAAAGCAAGTAGTGATATTACCTTAAATAATAATAAATATCCTTAAAAAAATCATATTCATCAGTCTACAATTACTTCATAAGAAATCAAGATTACAATCAGCTTATATTGATTTAGAAACAGGGTTTTATAAGCTAATGAAGCAGTAAAAAAGTGTCCTTCTAGAAGATTTTAATGTTTTATTGTATCAACTAATGCAAAGTATCAAATAATTAATATTTTTTACAATAGCAAACCCTTCAGCGTAAGCATAGGCGCTCTTTTACCTGGACCTGAACGTTACGCCACTGGTGCCTCTGCCATTTCCATTGGCATTAAGGAGTCTGTCAAAGTGTTTGTCGTGTGTGGCAGGCGGTGGGTCTGCGCTCGGGGC